AACTGTGCTTCATTTAAATTTTTCATTGACCACTGCAGCATCTAAGGCAAAATAGGGAGTTTATCTTTCAGCATGTTTTCTGATGTAGATTTAAACAAACATGCACTAGTTTTTACTGTGATTAAATACAAAGTTATTTAATTATTATTATAAGTGATTCAACTAACTCAGTCTGTTGTATCCTCCTACCCTCCCCCCAAGCAAACTGCTGTTGTCATAGGTACAGATCTGCCCAACACTCCCTTCTCAAGTGGGGTGGATGTGTTGCCATGACATAGCCCCTCCTTTTGCTCAGGTCTTGGGAAATTTCTGTATGATACAGGGTTACACAAGCCCAAGGACACATGAAACCCAAGGAAAGGATAACCAGGCACTCCCATGGCCATTTCTGCTAGAGAAAATGGTGCAGGAGGCCTCTCCTCCCCCCCCTTGCAGCACTCTGAGCTGTGCCAAGTGATCTACCGTTTTTGGGGGGTTTTTGAGCCCCTGGAGGGGATTTTTTATTGATTTTTTCCACTACAAAAAACTACAACAGAAAAAGGGAGGGGGAAACTACACGTACGGGGAGAAAGCAAAGTACCCACTACTAACTAAAAACCCAAGAGAGGAGATCCTCCAACTAGCTTTTATACATCCAGTCTTTTCATCATTTTTCTTTTTTATGAACTGGGTCAAACTTTTAAAACTTTTTACCCTCCCAGTTTACATTTAACTGCCCCATAACAGTACCCCCAAGCATCTCCAAGAACCAAAGTTCTCAAAGGCACAATTCAGAGTCCTTCAGCCTTTTTACTTCTTCTTCTCTCTTCTCTTCCGCAACTTGTTAGGGACTTTTTGGGGCTGCTGCCCCTTTATCAGACAGAGAACCCTCACCAGATGAACCAGTTTCCAGCTCGCCACTGGACCTACTGTCCTCTTCTTTTTTCTCGTCCTCTGGTCTTCCCAGCTGTTCCTTCAGAAATTCTTGAGCTTTCAGAACAGAGTCAATCTTTTTCTTCTTCTCCTTGATCTTGAATGCCACGCCTTCTAGAAATAGCCATTTGTATCCAATTGAATTTGCTTGGAGAAAGAGCACAAGTTCTTTGTATTTCTTTCTGCGTTGTCTTACTTCAAATGGAATATCCTTTAACGTTCTCACAACATTCTCCCCTGCCTTCAGGGGTGTTGCCACTATTGCTTTCAGGATAGCATCCCTGACGTGCCTCTTCGAGAATCTTACTACAATTTCCCCAGGCAGATTATTTTTCTTTATATATCCTGAATATGACCTATAGGCCACATCCATGTTGATGAGTAATGTCCGCCTTTATATCTGTCACTGGGGCAAGCAGTGTACTCATAAGTTCTTTAAGATTCTCTCCTTTGTTCTCTGGCACCCCCTGGAAGCGCAGGACCATGTTGGCCTTATCCATTTGTACTTGGAGCATCTGATCTTCCAATGAAGAAGTTTTCTTTTCCAATTTTTGCAGTTTCTTCTTCACTTTCTGCGTTGATTCAGCTACTTCCTTTACTTTCTCAGCATCCTGCTTCATTACTTGGATCAAATCCGTTATTTGCGTTTGCTAGGCAGAAATGCTCTGTGTTACCACGGATATCTGCTCTTTGAAGTTATTCAGCTGTTCCAGTAGAGGGCGCATGAACTCAGCTATAGCCTTTGCCGTCTCACTGCTCGTTTCCGGTTTAGGGGACTCTGGTTTCGTTTTCATAAGTCTCTCTTTGTCCCTCTTCCCCGCCATCTTTCTGCCATTTGTTTACTTTTCGGAATTTTTTTTAAAAAGTCTCTGAATATGCGCTTGACTGCTTAGCTCGATTGGGTAAGTGCTTCTGGGCAGTTTAATCGTGTTTCTCCTCCGCTCCCCACCTTCGCTCGACAGTCTATGCACATGGGAGGTGCCCCCCCCCGCTCACTTTTCCCGTTCCGGACAGGGAGCGTCTTTTCTTTTAAAAATCGTTTCCGATTTGACTCACATTCATAGTTGGCCTTCCGACCATGCTTCTTTCATCATTTTTCATGCCCGATCTCCTGCGCTTGACCCGGTTAGCTTCACTAGTACCGTTCGGTATCTCGGCTGGAAGAACCACTGGAGCAGAGGGGAGCCTCAATTCTCTGGCATTCCGCCATCGAAGAGGCTAACCCCTTAGCGCTCCTTGGCCAGGGCCCCTTCGCCAGGCCCCTGGGGGGGGTTACGAGCCTGCTCGCCCCCTCCTTCCGCCGGAGCACAAAGACACCCCCGGGAGGTGAGTCCGCAAGCGTGCCGCCATTAACCGGAAGCCCCAAGTGATCTACCAGATTTCAAAGGTGTATCCCCAGCATCCAGTGTGACCATGAAATTGTTTGGGAGACCCACAGCTTGGCTCACATGCATCACCTGTATTGTTTAGATGCACCATCAAACATGTAGCATGAAAACTACATGATTGTCTCCCTTAACCACCTGCGGAAGGAGAGAAGTCACGATTCCCTTCTTGGATTCCTAGTAACTAGAAAGAAAAGAAATGATTCTCTCTCAAAAGAAAACAAAAACCTAGAACTGGGGTAATTCAGTTAAATTGATTGGAAGATTTGGGATAAACAAAAGGAAATGCACAACTGCATACTTAACTTGTGAAGAGAATGACCAGAAATTTGCAGTGCAATCCTAGGGGTGCTTTCCTAAGAGTAAGACCCATTGAGTAAGATGAGACCTACTGCCAAGTAGATTTAGGATTGCTCCCTTTGATTATTAGTTTAGATTATTAGATATAGTCAAGAAGTATAGGCTGATGACCAGCTACTAACCATGATAGTTAAAAACAAAACCTTAGTGTTAGGAAGCAGCATACCACTGACAAGTCATCTTCATCATGGCCTGCTTGCAAGCTTGTGTTGTAGCAGAGAGAGTGCTAGAGTAGCAAGATAAAACAAGTCTAGTAGTGCCTTAAGCCTAACAAAATTTATTGTCTTGTGAACATTCATGAGTCAGAGCTGAACTTTCATATGCCTATGGGAAGAAAATCTTTAGAGGTTTTTATAACAGAAATCACAGGGGGACAGGGAGTTGAGGCAAATAGAGGCTTGATACGAATTCTTCTCGTAAATATTTCAGGTGTGCTTCCCTATGTAAGGGACTGGAGTGGATTTGGTCATCAGAGGTTCCAGTTTCTCATGGGGTACAAATAAACAAAGTTTATGAACAAAGTTTAATGAACATGACTAATCAAGGAAGAAGCAATCTGAAGCATAAGCAGAATTAACTAAAGTTGTTAAAGGGTTATAGCATGATACAACATGTTAAGAAGAGCCAGTTAAAGTCACTGCAAAGTGGGTTCTGTAATGCTATTAGAAATTATAGTGAGTAAGGAAATCCAAGTACCTGTTTAGGCCAGGGTGCGAGAGACTATGTGATTTCTTGATGAGTTCTAATTCACATTATATTCTCATTTTCAAGATTTTTTGTACATCTGTGACTTTCAGATCTGCAACAATATGTCTAAGAATGTTAAAATGTTCCTGCACTGATTTCTGAATGTTTCATTTTTAAATGTCATATTTGTCTTCATTGGTACTCTCATGTTTGTCCAGTGTAGACAGTGGAAGAACATTGTTGGCACAAGATGACATATTAAATCAAATCAAATATCTTTAATGGCATATCAATAAAATACATGGTGTGATAAAATATGAGTAAAGAGGCATTACAGAGACTGCAAAATAAGGCAGATTGTACAGAAAGCTTGTATCTATCTTTAACCGCTTCAGCCAAAAACCTAGCAACCAGAGCAGTGATGTCCGGGTTTGTGTCATTTAATAGACATTGGATTATTCTGTCATTATTAACACAGTGTTTAGGGTATAGTGGAGAGGAAAGAAGTTTCTTACGTGAACCTGCGTGCAATTGACAATCCAAGATAATGTGATGGATTGAATCTATTGATTTTAGAGGACAGATACATTGCCGTTCATGGAAAGGGACTTCGTCATACTGACCGGTTAATATTTTTGAGGGGAAAATATTTAGTCGGGCCAATGTAAAAGCTCTACGATGATAAGGGTGATCAAGGCTATAAAAGTAACTGGCCATTTTCCCTTCTGGGTGGAAAGGTTTAGTTTGGCCTGAGAAGAAAAGTAAGGCTGCGGAAGATTTAGCTTATGAAATTCTAGGTCAAGAAGCCTTTGTTTATGGTTTGAAAGAGAGCAGATTCATTGAAGAGCAGGAAGAAGTCGATTGAAAAGCCCAGCTGTTGGATTTTCTTTTCAATAGTTGAAAGCGAAGTAATACTATACGAATCACTTTTTAATTTTGAAAGTAAAGAATTTGAAGAAATTCTAAAATGTAACCTGAGCCAATATTTAAAGGTTATTAGCCAAATTCTTGTTTCAATAAAATGCTGGCCCAATTCTATACAAAGTGCCAAATAGTGTGTACAGTTAGAGACTCTTAAAAGTAGATGACATATTAAACTGGGTGGTTTGCAAGTGGATGAACCCAGGATGGTATAGCTACTGTTCTTTGGTCTCATAATACTGTTGCTTGAATATGTATATGGACCAAGCTGGCATCTTGGTCTGTTGCAGGGCTTGGTCCCTTGACTTATGTCTCTAATGTAATGGGTGGTCCATCAATTTGGTGAGAAGCTTTTCTAAATTGGGGGGGGGCTGTCTGCAAATGAGGGAAGGCCTGCTAGCTAAGGCTTGTGAAAGAGAAATATCCTTATCCAGGAGAGGATGAAGGCCTTTGATGATACGGTGAATTATTTTAAGCTGTAAGCTGTGGGTGACAACTAGTGGTGTTGGATTGATACCTCCTTTTGTTCTGTCTTGTACCAGGCTAGCTATGAGTACCAGTCTGGTTTTGCTGACAGAACCAAAAGATTCTAGCTTCGATATTTTTTAAAAAAGATTATTGAGATTATTGATGCATTTCAGCAGTCATGAATGTTTTAGTATGCATTACCCAACTTGCACTGCCAGGTGGTGCAGATGTTCAGTCAAAATGTTAAACATTCTTTTCTTTTTTCAGGTCAGTGGAGATATACCTCCACGATTAAAAAAAAGTGCCCATGAAATAATATTGGACTTCATCCGATCTCGACCTCCATTAAATCCAGTATGTAACCCAATATGTTCTTTATCAAGTGTGTGTGTGTGTGTGTGTGTGTAAAGTGCCATCAAGTTGCAGCTGACTCGTCATGACCCCAAAGAGTTTTCAAAGCAAGAGACTAACAAAGGTGGTTTGCCATGGCCTTCCTCTGTACAACTTTTTATGTTTTGCGTTAGACACTTTTAAAATGCAGCTTCTCCCAGTTCCCACCTGCAGAGCACTTTAGAATACATGGAAACACAAACATTTTCTGCGTAAGCAACCCACTACTACTCTTAAAGTGCATTTTGGAAAGGTTCATAAAGAATTATTTTGAAATTAAGCCCTCAGATTTGTTATTTTCATTCTTCTTATGTAATTTTCCCTTGTCAACATCCGTTGTGTTGCTTCTTCATTTAGTACATGTTCTTTCCCCAGGTGCCATGCTTACCCCCTTTGTGTGACCAATTCTTCTCCAGGCAGCTCTCCCTTAATTTCCTCATACTCGCATTGTGCAGTGCAGTTATGCCCAAATGCGCTCCCCTCCTCTCCCTCATGCTAGCAACAAGTACTAACTTTGATCTAGACTGTGAGAAAATTTCTTGTTGAGTTGAAGGATCAACCTGACAAACCTGTTGACTAGCTTCTATTCCATGTTGGCTCCACATCCATGCACCCACACATATACCCTCCTCACTGCTTCAATAATGGGTGTTTTTTGTTTGCACCCATGTTTCTGGAAAACAAGGAGAGGATCTAAGTCACTGTTTACTGTTTAATCCTTTCTATCCTGGTTTTCTGCGTCCTATTTATTACTTATCTGACAAAATAGAAAAGAGAGTTTAATTTCTAAATGGGGCTTACAAAAATTACAACCAAATAAAAAGCTCTTTGCTTTGATCTCTGGGGAATTAGAAAAAAAAGGGATCAGGTTTTGTTAAAGCTGATATCTTAAATCTGATCTTTAATTTTGGATATTCAGAATCAAATTCTGTGAAATTGAATTTATTGTAATTATTATTTTAAGTGGATTTTTTTTGTACGACGGTAACTTTTATCCTATTGTACACTTTAAGTTTGCTTTCTGATTTCTGTATTGATTTTGATATTATAAGCAGATACAATTAAAAAGTTACAGGTATGGCTGAACTTAGGATGGGATATGTAAATATTAACATGTATAGTGAGTAAGAAATCTGAAGTCTTTGTTAAGGCATGGGGGGGATAGTACTGAATTTATCGATGAATCCTAGTTCAGCAATTTAGTGTTGAATTCTCCTTTGAAATTCTTTTGTAAAAAAATGATGACTTTTAGTTTAACAGTAGAATACCCTGGAATGTTATTGCAGTGTTCACCTGCTGGTTTCTAAATATTGTGATTTTTCTGATGTCAGATTTGTGCCATGCAGAGAATAGAAAGGCATTGTTTGTACAGAATGGCATATATTACATTGGTGGGCAAGTGAATGAATCCAAGATTGTGTAACTGATGTTATTAAGTCCTGTTATTGTATTGTTTGAGTGTATATGAGGACAAATAAGAGTAAAAATAAATTTATAGAAATCATAATGGCCAAAATCAGCAACTGAGAAAGCTTGTTCTGATGACTTAGGTAAAATACATAGTAGTAAGCTGTGCATTTTATTTATTGCATCATGACAATTTATTGCTGCAATTCTCTTTTGTGACATCCCAATTGTGCATACATTTTCTGTTTTTGTATTCATATTCTCTAGGCTTCTGCAAGAAAACTGAAACCAACCCCACCACGACCACGTAGCCTCCATGAAAGAATACTGGAAGAAATCAAATCTGAAAGAAAGCTGAGACCAGTCTCTCCTGATGAGATCAGGCGCAGTAGACTTGGTTAGTAGTTTGCTTCTGATGACGTAGTCATGGGTAGTACTGTACTGATATGGTTATTCCTCATTGATAAGAAATGTGCAAGGTTATAATATTCCCACTTTTTAATCTTGCTTCTTTGTTGACCTATAGACTTGTCTGCAGATAGTAGGTTCATTGTGGAAATTTAGTTTTGCTTCATATTTTGGTTTACTCTAGGAAATTAACAAATGTGTGCAACAGTTTCTTTTTAGCATTTGCACTATTTGAAATTCAGAGGCAATAATGTTCTATCTGGGGAAGATACTGCTCTCTGTGCTTTAATAAAAATTGAAGATAGGTGTATGCTGCCGCACTCAAGGAGGGGACGATGCTCATCTTCCCAACTTCTAAATAAAATAAAAGCAAAGGTTCAGAAAATGATGGAGCATTGTTGCAAGGCATCCTTGATGATATCTGATGCTTTTAAAAATGATCAGTTCAGTGTTCCCAAGAGGAGTGGCAGGAAGGATCAAGTTCTAAAATGTTAACTTTTATTTAAAAAAATAACACAACAGAACACCCACGAAGAGTGGAGCTGTATTCCATAACCATTATTCATGTTGCAGGTAGCAACTAATAGATTCCTGTTATGCACAGCCATATTAGCCTTGGTAATCACATTAGAAACAGGTGTGCTAAAGTAGGTAGAATTTTCTCAAACATGATGTATAACAGTTTGATTGGTGGGATATGGGCTATACCAACAACAGAAGTACAACTTCAGAGAAACCCTACACTATATCACCATACCTTTTCAAAAAGGGCATCTTAAAGACAAAAAAAACCAACATTATGGCATAAGCGATCCAGATCATCCTGGACTGGAGCCTGCTTCAGAGATGTATGTATTTTTTAAGTGACTTAATGTAATGAGATTTCAGGTGGGTAGCCGTGTTGGTCTGAAACAGCAGAACAAAGTTTGAGTCCAGTGGCACCTTTAAGACCAATAGAGTGTTATTCAAGGTATAAGCTTTCATGTGCACGCACACTTCTTCAGATACAGATCCTTCCGATTCAGTGTATCTGAAGAAGTGTGCTGGCACACAAAAGCTTATACCTTGTATAAAACTTTGCTGGTCTTAAAGTTGCCACTGGACTCAAACTTTGATGTTATGAGTGCTGCTTCTGTGATTCATCTTGAACGTGTTTGGAGCATAATGTGTGGTCCACCTGCTTCAAATCTTTGCTTGCTCAGAGAACATTATTACCCAAAAGGTATAGAAACTAGTTACATACTTGCCTAAACATGTACTGGCACCTTTCTTCTTCTGGAAATGTTTTGCAAAGTGAGTTGGTCTTTCTACTAGAAAAGTCTGTTTCTTTGCACCTGTAGGTAAAATTTAAATAGTTTATGTGTTTCCTTGTGGAGTGATACCTGAATCTTTTTGAAGTGTCATTGTTCGCAATTCTGTTTGCCAGACTTTCCTGTTATAAAGGGAAATATTTTAAAAAAAACCTGGGGAGGTTGTCAGACATTCCCCTTTAAATTATATGTCTCAAAGACGAGACGTTAGGATAGAACACTACATAAGGTATCATAAAATACAGTTCGTAGAAGAAGTCTGGAAAAATAAAAACCAGGGTAAATGTTTTGAAACTTAGAGAAAGACCATTCTGTTTCTTATGAATAAGGAGGCTTCCTCTGCCTCCACTGAAGAACATAATAGGGTTGTCCCAGGTTTGTTTTAAAACCGTAAAAAGAGTTAGACTTGGAAGATAACGGACAGAATTTTCAGTGGAAAAGTACAGCAGTTAAACTCTCACATTTAACAGATACAGACTGACCCGGTTTACAGACAGATACAGTTGCACTACTTTGGCAAAGTCAAGTTACTGCTGTGACTAGTACTAAACAGTTTTTTAATGCCAACAGTTTGGTAAGTGGTGTACTGAACAAAGAAGTGGCATTATTCCCATCCAGATATGTAATATCAGATGACAACACAAGTTGACATGAGTGAAATCAAGAACTCTGGTTACAGTAAACATGAGCAGGACTTATAGATAGTTATGAAATGTATTCTTAATGGGATTAGTTAGTTTGTGGTAGTACAGAAAGGTGATTTTTGAATAAAACAATGGACTGGGTTTTTTTAAAAAAATTAATAAGATGAAAAAATGAGTGCTTTGAAATTCTAGGTTTACTAAAATGCAAATATTACTAATTTAAAGTTAAAGCATCAGTTTTTGATAAGCAGATTTTTAAATTTAAGTATTTCATTTCTTTTTTACTATGATTTCCTTTGTAAGTGGTTAAAATTAGGCATGTACGCTGATCATGCAGTGTTTCCTTGCAAGAATCCCATTGAGCTGAATGAAACTCATTTCCAAGTAAATGTACATAGGATTGCAACCTTAGGTCCTGAAATACTGTGGGCTCACATCAAAATGCTTGGCACAGTTGCATTCACGTGACACACTAAGCCTACACTGTAAATGAACCCAGCTTGTTGCCCAGCTCATGCGCGCGTTTTTCTCGTCTTTTCCTCCAATCTTTCTCAGCTCTCTCATAAGTCAAGAATATTCATCATAATGTGTTTTAACCTGGAATTCCTTCACTCTGCTCTGTGAGGATGGGAGGGGAGGAGACAGAACTGAGGTCAATACATGCAAAGCAACAAGCTGGGTTTGTGCACAGTGTGGCTTAATGTCTGCTTAACATGACAACAGATTGCAGCCTTGTATTAAGAATGGCAATACATTACGTTAATGGAAATATTTTATACAAATACTCTTAATCACTTCCCTTGAAAACCCTCTGGGGTTGCCATAAGTCGACTGTGACTTGACAGCACTTGAGACTCACACACGCATGCCATGTACAAATGCTAGTGCATTTGGAGTTAATTCTAAACATTATTTTATTGCTTTTTAAATTGTTATTATTTTGATTATTTTTACATTATTTCCTCTCCTGAGAACTGGTATAACCTAATGAACTGTGAGCCAGGAAATAACCATTTCAAGTATCTTCTCATCCAGGAGTTTACTGGATGGCTTCTGTATCTGTCTTAGTCTCATACCTGTACAACGTGAGCAACGTCTAGACTACCTCTTAAGGTTGTTGTAAGATTTACTGAGTGAAGTGAGTGAAATACTCACTTTAGGGAAAGTACTACTAAGTAATATTATTTTTCAGTTAACTCTCTCTGATTCTCAAAGTAAAGTATATGTTAAATAAGTTTGAAACATGGACTTACCTGGTACATTCAGTAGTTTCCTGTTAGGAGTGGACTCCAGAATTTTATGTCAGCGGATGAATTCAGCATGCTGTTCTAAACAGCTGCCATTGCCCATGTTTACAGCCTAGGGTTGATAGGATGAGGGGAAACTTACCAGGAGAAACAAGAAGGCCCAGGTGAAGTGATACAGGAAGTGACATAATCACACTGCGATGTTTCAGCAGTATTCTGGTATTTGGGCAAAAACTCTATGGTAAAAATGGCTTCTACCATATTTTGTCCAAATACCAGAGCATCGCTTAGAAGTTGCCAGCATGATGATGTCACTTCCTGTGTAATGTCACCTGGACCTTCCTCTTTCTCTTATTAAGACCCCTGCCAGCCAGTGGCAGGGATGGGGCCTGCAGCAGGGGACCCCCGCCTCCACTAGGAGGGGCTGGCAACCCTATTACAGCCACTTCTCACAGAAGTAGAAGAGCAATAAATTTGAATTTTTGTGATGAAACATATATGGAATAAAAGGAAGAATTATTTTTAAATGTCAGTTTTCACTACCCCTTTGATCTATATCTTGCCCCAAAAGGTGACTGATTTTTTTTCAAAGATAGTTTTGTGATGGGTGCAGTTTGATATCTGAGGCAGAACAAAAATTTCCACAAGGAATAAGATGCTGCTGCTCTCTTTTGTAAGAGAAAGCCTGATGGTTCAAGTTGGCTTGAATATAAGTCTTTGATCATTATATATCACAGGAGATTAGGCGTTTAAAACTGAATGAATGTCTCAGGTCACTGAAGTCTCTGTGAAATGCGGTGCAGTACTTTGTTTTCCCACTTCTACCTTGTTTTTTGCATGTTCTTTTGTTATAGTAGTAGAAGGTCTTTGGTTCCATGTTTGTTTTCTTACAACTGTTTTTGAGATTTTTACATGTGATCCTAAGCACAGTCAGAACTACTTCAATGACAAATTTCTTCTCTTAATACATTTTCAAGAGTCAAATAGAATGTATGCTATCAAAACTGATGAATGCATACGTCTGTTTTGTCATGTGTACATACCACAGAAATCTACCACTGGTCAGGATTTCCTGCCAGGCTACAATAAACTGCAATAGAAACTTTCATTTTAGCTGTTTAACAATGTACACAATGAGGTGCATGCCATTTCCCACACAGAAGTAATATGATAGGAAATTTGTCATATATTTAGTGGTTCTTACTGGAATCAGTGTGACTTGAAGTCAGTTTAGAAAGTACTTATCCCATCTGCAGGCTGAAGGAAGGCCCTTTCTGCACACAGCCTCACCAGAAGTCAGAATGACATTTACAAGATTCTTGCCTCATGCATAGCCCCAGTGCGCATCAGCCCCATAGCCAGAAAATTTTATGTGGGGGAGCAAAGAGCAGGAGCAGGGAGCTTAATTAGATTACCACTAATTAGATTAGTGACTGATTAATAGAGAGAAAGACTTGGGAGCCAGCCCCACTAGGAGGCCTATTCCCAGGGAAGCATGCCCAGCATCTTCCTAGAACAGCTCGGGGGGGGGGGAGGCCAGCTCGCTTCCCGGCAGCTTTGCCTGGACCTCCAGACCCTTGGGTCATGCCGCTCACCTTGGCATTGCTGATGTAGCAGAGCTCCATGGCATGCTGGGCTTGGCCAACCACCTCCATACAAAAAATGAACATGTCGCACATGAGATCAGCCATCTTGGCCCCACTCTGACTCATAGCCTTTGCTGTCTCTTTTTCCTCCCCTTCCTTCGCAACATGCAAAGGAGGCTCCCTTGGAGCTGAGCTGGGAGGC